TTATTTATGGTGATTATGGTGTTATGTCTTTTTATAAACTAATAACTGGAGATATCATATATAAATGATATCTTGGAATGATTTTTATTTATTAATAGAGATATAAATTATTAATAGAGATATAAATTAATAGAGATATTTATTAAAGTATTCTTTACAATTTATATGAAAGGAAATTTATGAAATTCATTCTTTTTTAAATAAAAAAAAAAAAATTAGAAATTAGAAATAATTGGTAATTAGAATTATTTTCCAGCCACTCAACGTATAATTGAACTATCGAAGCCGAAAAGAAAACGGAGATTAAAAATAACAAAAATTAATCATAATAAAAGAAAATCAAAATTGCATAAAGAAAAGTCACGGTAATAACGAAATTAAAATTCTCTACTTTTGATATACGTACGCGTGTGTAAATAAAAAAAAAAAAAATAAATAAATATATAATTTTTTAATATTTTAGAAGCTATGGGAAACGCGGTAAAAAGAAGGATTACAAAAACAGGGATTATAAACATAATGGATTCAATCGCTATAAGAATGATCGAAAACAAAAAGTAAAAAAAAAAGTGAAACTATCAAATTCCGACAGAACTATTATTATGGTTGGCTTAAATTTGAAAAATGACAAGAAAATTCGTCGATAATTGTCGAGAATAAAATTCGTATTGTTTTTAGAATTTAGAATCGTTTAGAATTTTAAAGAGATATGACTGTCATCACATAAGATGTATTATGGAGTGTGAATATAATTAAATAACAAAAATTTATTATATTCGAAAATTATTATTCGAATATTATTTGATCTTACATTGCTTTTTTTGTTAAAAAATTTTTATTTACTTTATATCTATTAAATTTTAACAATATATTCTTTCTTTTGACTTATTATATAAATAAATCTGAACGTATTTTAAAATGAACAAAATTTGTTGAAAAAGATAACAATAAAAATAGATTGAAAATAAGTAATTTATTAGGTAATATAGATTATTTCTCGTAACAAAGGCGATAAATATATTGCTAAAAGGAATATTATGCGATATTAAATCATCTTACCGCATATTATGTCCAATGTCGCTCGTTTAGCATAAGGAACAATATCGAATTCTGGTTTTCCAATTTCCTTTCTGAGGCATGAAATTAATATTTGAGCCTCTTTAATTGTCGTCTTTAAATACAATTCCAAAAGACCACTGTGAAAAGTTGGCGTTAGCAATTTCCGGTGAAAGTGCCATTTTTCCCCTAGAATAACAATATATTATATTTATCGACTTTTTATTTTCTATTTCTGAAATGACATGTTATAATTTTTTTTACTAGATTTTTATTATTTTTCATAAATTTATAAAATATAAAAACAAATCCTATTATTAAAATTTAACTTTTCGCTATGAGCGTTGGTTAAAAAATTGGCAAGGAACATTTTACTAGGGGGATATGTAAAAAAATATTTTGATGATAGTTATTAAGAGAATATCCGATTCGAGTTCAATAATCATAAATTTTTGCTACCAGTTGTCTGGTTGGTAATTTGCTGAAATTTTAAACCAAAAAAAGATCCCAATAAATCATGGTTAAATGTAGCTTCTAAACCGGCTAGATAAGTAGATCGAATCGGTTCGATCTACTTATAGATTTTTTTCTTTTTGCGTCGTCCTCAAACAAATTGTTCCTTTTTCACATTCTCTGATTCATGGAAACCTGATAGTATGCCCTCGAGTACGTACAACGTGTTGTTATAAGAATTTTTGTATAAAACGGTCAGGATATCCCATTTAAAAAAATTGAAGCTTATGGGATTTCGAATTTTGTAACAGATAAATTTTTTATTACTATTTTTTTACATCATTTTTATAGCATTGTTAACCTTTTGAATATTCATCGTTGAAATGTTTTACAAAATATGTCACGAATTTTCATTATTACTATATTGTCTTCTTCGTGACATAGACATAATGATAAATGAAAAGAAGAAATTTAAATTGTACGAAAGAGTGCAAAAGATGGTGTAAAAGTTAACAAGGAATATATCAATACTATTTACTTACCGGTGCTAGTTACCAAACCGGAACCAAGCCAAGGCTGTAAATATTGGTACTCCAAACTTTTGTCAATGTGAACACTACTGCTCAACAATGGTTGTATCGCTTCTGCTTTATAGAGAAAGATAAAAGGTCGCATCCCTACCCAGATCAGGTATATGTCCCCTAATTCTTTTCCCCATTTGATTATTTTTCTGAAGGCTTCTGTAACATATACATTTTTTTTTTGGTTTAACTTTTGCGGTCATCGACCTCTTACCTGTACGTATATCTCGTACAATTTATGCGAGTCGAGTTTTTTTTTTTTTCAAGATATTGTCACAATTGCTCCTACTGATTAAATTGATACTCTCGAACAATATCTTCGATCAGATTAAGTCACATGTAAGTACAAACATTTTATCTAGAATTGTTTATCGTTACAGAATTTCGATCTGATATAACTAAACGTACGATATATCTGATATATTTTCACTCTTAAATAACGTATAAATTTTTCTTTCATTTTATTTGATCATTTATTTAAGAATTATTCGTAAGATTGATCGAAATGATTCGAAAACTCGAAACATTAGAATACTTTTTTCGGATGAAAAAGTAATTTTAGCACATTTATTTTTATCAAATCGATATCATATAAAAATCTTTTTAGTTTCCATCATCAAATGATACGATTTTAAAAACGGATTCTTCGATTTCTTTGAAATAATTTTTACTGAGTATTATTTAATATTAATATTTTGTAGTTGTTAATTGAATAAGAATGAAAAATGTAATAATAAATATGATATAATAATATCGATGAAAAATTCGAAAAATCATTCATTTCTTCAGCAAGGAAAAACTATATGAAAACTGTAATCGATATTAACTGTAATCGATCGAAGGGATTAATAGAACAAAGAAATAATTTACGAGAATTTCAAAATGTATATATTCCGAGATATTCTTATCTAAAACGAAGATGGAAATCAACGAAACGCTGAATTTTTGCAATACGGTAAGATTGCCGATATTTCCATATGATTTCCGGCGGCCATTGACCCAAGGCATCAATATACAGAAATAGACCTTTTACAGTTATCGTCGTAGCCAATCAAGTTATTGTCGTATCTCTATGCTTGTTTCAGCCTCGTGACGCGAATTATTTGTCAAGAAAGGGAAGACGAGCATTGATGTAATGACAAGAGAGAAAGAGAGAGAGAGAGAGAGAGAGAGAGAGAGAGAGAGAGAGAGAGAGAGAG